GAGGGGTGACGCTGTTTCCTGCCGCCCTCCTGCGCCCGGAGCGCCCGAAAACTGCGCTCTCCTGCCGCTCTCCTGTACACTGCCGGAAAGACCCGCTACTGTAATGTCGGGCGTGTCCCCCTACAGAGGGATTTTCGACGAAAAATGAAAAAAAATACACCAAAAGTACCCTAAAAAGGTCAAACAATACTATAAACAAAATAGTCCCCAGACTATTTTTAAACAATTTTTTTATTATTTTTGGGGTATTCTTTATTTTTCGTCGAAAATCCCTCTGTAGGGGGACAGGCCCGACTTAACGCTACTGGGTTGGGAGAGTATCATCAACTTCCCAGAGGTCCGCGCGGACCTCCGACAAGATTCCCAAACAACGCGCGCAATCCCACCAGTCCTCTGCGCGTATGTGGTGAAACGAACTGCGTCTTCTCGTCTCTGCCAAGGCTTCCTCCTTCCCCTGCTCGGGGGAGGGGCTTACCCCTTACCCTACCCCCTCCCCTGGGCCTGGACGGGGCGCCCCGCGATGGGGTTAGAGCGTCCGAGATGGCCCAGAATGGCCCCAAGAGGGCCTCTGAGAGCACAAGATGGCCTCCAAAATGGCTCACGATATCTCAGGACGGTTCAAGATAGCCTCCGACTCACATCTATGAGGCCTGTTCCGCCAGAGTTCGCCTGGCGCCCAGCTGGTGGCTGGTCGTGGGCGCCTCATGGGCGCCCCCTGGGCGCCCACATGGGATCAGCTGTAGAACGCACCACATAGCTTCCACCACAGAGGACGCAGCACGCATAGGTTACGCATCCAGAGTGCAGCAAAACACTGCTTGGGGCCCGCGGCGGCAGATATGTTTACGGCAGGCTCGTGTCGTGACGGCACCGGCGTTTATGTCAGACGCCACGTAGATCGTTGAACCTTGAACGATCGGCGGCTCTTCGATGACCAGATCTTTGAAGGGGCCCCAGGACACACTAATAAATACACACAAAAAAGTATTCCCATATTTTCCCATATTTTCTGTGTTTCTGTCTTCCCCCCAATCCCAATATTTTCCCATGTTTTCTGGGGAATCGACGATTAATTGTGTCTGTGCGTTTTTTCCCCTCCTGAATCTTTCCATTTTGGCCGGCTCTGGGCCGCGGGCGGCGTTGCACCCTGAACGCCGGCACTGAGGCCGCCGCCGCGTGGACACGTCGCGCAACTATCGTGTGTGATCTTTTTCCCCTTATGATGTTTTTCTGGAGGGGAAGAGGAGGAGGAGGAGGAGGAGGAGGAGGAGGAGGAGGAGGAGGAGGAGGAGACCAGCCCTCTGGGCGGAGGTGGTTTAGGGCGCTTCCTCTTCCAGCCCCCTTCCTTCCCCTGCGGGGAGGGCTTTGCCCCTTCCCCTCCCCACTTCCCCTGGACCTGGAGGCTGGGGGCGGGGAGGTGTCAGAGCGTCCGCGAAGGCCTCGGTGAGAAGGCATACATTTGTTGTGGTCTTTCGGTCTTGGTCTCGTTTACACACCCAAAAATAACACCAGCAAGCTCTGAAGACACATCCGAAGCGACTCCGAGAGGTATCCAAGAGTCCTCTGGTCTTTCTGTTCGCCCTCCTCCTCTGTTCCTCCTCTCTTCTTCTTCCTCCTCCTCCTCCTCCTCCTCCTCCTCCTCCTCCTCCTCCTCGTCCTCCTCCTCCTCCTCGTCCTCGTCCTCGTCCTCCTTCTCCTCCTCCTCCTCGTCCTTCTCCTCCTCTTCCTTCTCCTTTTGCTCCCCATTTGCTCCATTTTTTCCTCCTTTTCCTCCTCCTCCTCCTCCTCCTCCTCCTCCTCCTCCTGCCCATCCCCCCCCCTGCTCCTGCTGCTGCCCCTCCTCCTCCTCCTTCTCCTCCTCTTCCTCGTTCTCGTCCTTGTCCTCCTCCGCTGATCATTGCAGCGGGTGTTCACCAGGACGAGGCTTAAACCTCCACGGGTCTGCGGGCGACACGCCCCGAACTCAGACCTCGAGAAGGCCGCGCGGCGCAAATAACTTCGCGCCCCCTGGTGGGGAGAGAACAAGGAGAGAGAGAGAGAGAGAGAGAGCAGGCCCGGAGGCAGAGTGCGGCAGGCGTAAACTGGGAACTACATGCAAGGACGGCCCGGCGGGGGGAAGAAAAAAGAGGCGGGGGGCGGGGGGCATCGGAGCGTCGTCAACCGTGGCCGTCGTGGACGTCTCAGTGGGTGCCGTGGTGGTTCGTGCTGCAGTGGGGGTCGTCATGGTGGCCGCGGTGGTGGCCGTGCTACTGGCGGTCTCGCAGCCGCTGGCGTCGCGGTGGCCGTGGTGGGCGCGGTAGTCGTGATGGTCCTGATGGTCGGGTTGGTAGCCAGATTCTGGTGGTCGCGCCGCCGTCGAGCGCGCTGTCGGTGGGCATGGTCGTGGTAGCCACCGCTCTGGCGCCGCCGCCGCCCTGCGGCCCACCCCCTGCAGTGGGGCGCGGGCCTGAGCCTTGGGCGCTCAGCAGGCTCTAATAAGAATCCTCTACGCGCTGCCGACGACAAGCGTGCTTTGGATGCGGCGCCACGCGGTGGCGATGACCGCCGACCGCTCCGCCTCGGGCAATTTTGCGCGGTAGGAGCGGACGAACGAGACGAGCTCATCCGCCAGGCGCCCCCCCGTCTGCAGGACGGCCGGGACCAGCTCGCCACCCGATGGGGGATAGCGGTTGCAATTGACGCCTGCAGCCTGCGATGCGGCCAACCCGTCGCGGTTGGATCGTGCCCTCCTGCGCTCGAGGTTGTCGGAGTGTGTGCAGGTGACAAGCCAATCGGCGTAGATAGGTTGTCCGCTTGCCGCGTCGCGGGTCCCCACATCCAAACGGGCTTCTTCCACCTCCTCCCCGTCTGAGTCCACAAGGTCCCCAGCGAAGATTCGGTTTTCGGTGGCCCCCGCGTGGCCGGTCTGCGCCTGGTGGAAAGGCGCATTCCGGTCTCGGAAGCTATTGGGCGGTGGTCACGAGAGCCTCCGCAACCGCATTCTTCAAGGGGTGCCAGCCTTTGGCGTCCAGGGGCGCGCCACAGACTGTGCCGTCTCGCTGACGGTGTTGGCAGGGCGCCCCCGGCGTGCAAACGTCAGCCCGAACGCGCTTGCGCAGCCCCACGTGGAAGTGTAGAGGCCTCCTAGATGGGGTCGGAGTAGATGGGGTCGGAGGATCGCGCCGCATCGTTGATACATCGGCGATACATCGTCGATGCGTCGGCGATGCACCGGCGATGCATCGTCGACGTTGCCGACGCATCGGCGACGTCGACGCGACGCAAATCGGGCTGCACATCGAGCCGCATCGGCGATGCATCGGCGATGCGGCGCGATCCTCCGACCCCATCTGCTCCGACCCCATCTAGGAGGCCTAGAAAGTGTGCGTCAGGGACGGGCGGGTCCCCCTCCTGGCGCGGGAGAAGCCAGCTTCCCGCCGAGGTGCCGCTGCTCTCGCGCAGGGCAAGCTGGTCGTCTTCGCCCAGAATTTGCAGCAGGCGCCCCCGCTTTAAAGGGAAATTGGGACACACGAATAAATACACACAAATAAAAATAGTCCCCATATTTTCTCATATTTTCTGGGTTTTTGTCTTCCCCCCCAATTCCCATATTTTCCCCTATTTTCCTGGGAATCGAGGATTAATTGTGTCTGTGTGTTTCTTCCCCTCCTGACGCTTGTGCGCTGAAGTGCGCTTGCCCCAGTGACCCTGGCGCTTGGCCCGCGGCTCCCCCAAGTAGCTCCCCCAACCAATCGGGCCATCCTCGGCCCTCTGGGCGCCCAGCTCGGACTCTGCGCTCCTCATGTCCCCGGCAGTGCGAGGGCAGCTGGATCGGAAGCCCTCCAGGGAGGAGACCCCGAGGCAAGCGGCGACGCTGGGGAGGACGAGGGCCCAACTGCCCAAGTAGGCGCGGGCGGCCGTGTCTCGAGCAGACGGGAAGGCGCAGCCACCGTGGGACAAGCCCAGCTGGGCTTGTTCGCGCTGCGAAGCGTCAACGGCGATCAAAGGCGACGCCGCGAACTCGTAGGCGCCACGGAGGTCGTCCACCTGTGCAGCCCAGCCGGTTTCGTAGTTAGCTCGAAGCAAGTGGGTAGCGCAGCCGAGCGCAGACGTACGCACGAGTGTGTGAGCTCCATCAGCCGTCAGCCAGTTGTCCCGCAGCTGCCGCCAGTGCCGCAGGAAGCGCCGCGTCATGTCGATCACTTCACGTCAGTCGGTCGGTCTCCCCTCCTCCTCCTACTCCTCCTCCTCCTCCTCCTCCTCCTCCTCCTCCTCCTCCTCCTCCTCCTCCTCGTTTTCCTCCTCCTCCTCGTTTTCCTCCTCCTCCTCCGATTACTCCTTCATCCTCCATCCTCCCCCTCTTGGGGTATGACTGCTTCCCCAGCCATTTGTTCCATTGCATGCTTCTCCACATCCCTGATCAGGGCAACTCGCCTGGGCATCGTTTCTGGATTGGCTGGTGGGGTCGCGCGACGCGTCTAGAATAAGGTAAACAACGACCGCAGAAGAGCCCCACAAGGAAGACGGGGAGCCCGAAACCACCTCGTCCGGCAGCCGCGTGATTTCGCCCGAGACTTCCTCACAGCCTATTCCGGAATCGTGCGCTCGCCTGCTCGCCTCCATGCCAGCCACATGCCTGGTCCAGACGGCCCCGATCCCGGGAGAAAAACAGACACCGAGGTGCGCGTGGCCGTGCTCCCGCCCTCCGCATACTGAGGAGTGTGCACCCTCCCTCGCCGGCCTCCTCCTCCTCGACCCTCCTCTTCACCGACGTCGTCGTGGGGTGCTCTGCTCGGCGGTGCCGACGGCCCCGTGGCAGACCGCGCCCCCCCCCAGGCTCGCCCAGCCCCCAGGAAGCCCCAAGAGGTCCCCATGAGGCCCCCAGCAGGCTTCCCAGAGGCCCCCAGGAAGCCTCAGAACTGCCGCCAGGAGGCCCCCGAGGGTGGTCCCAGGAGATCCCAAGAAGCACTCCTGAAGACTCTGACCCACCACCCGGGCACGGCCCCCCCCATCCGGCTGGCCTCGCGCGCGCTGTCCGCCTCCGCCTCCAGCTGGCGGATCCGGCTCTCCAGCGCGGCGCGCTCCTCCTGGACCTGCCCGCCGCCGGGGGAGGGAGGGAGGGAGGGAGGGAGGGAGGGAGGGAGGGAGGGAGGGAGGGGAGGGAGGGAGGGAGGGAGGAGGAGGAGGAGGAGGAGGAGAGGAGGAGGAGGAGGAGGAGAGGAGGTGGTGGAGGAAGGAGGAGGTGGAGGAGGAGGAGGAGGAGGAGGAGGAGGCGGGGGCGTTAGGGGGGGAGCGTCAAAGGGGGGGGGAGGGGGGCACCCGCCCAGGAGAGAGCAGGACGAGGAAGAGAGAGAACGTGCGAAGGCTGCTGTCCAGCTCTGGGTTCCCCATGATTCAACCATTGGAAATGGCGTGTTGTGGGAAACCAAGACCCTGGGGCGTGGGTACTACCGCCCGTCACGGCACCCCCGAGGAGCCTTGCCTCCTCAGTTTCCCGAACTTCGGAATTCGAAGCATGGGAAATCTGGAATCACCACCAAAAAGGGAAGCTTTCCGCAGTGATTCTAGGCGTCCCATAATTTGAAATTATGGGAAACCTGAAATCACCACAAGAGAAGGGAAGTGCTCGTAATGATTCCAGGTTTCCTGTAATACGACCCCCCCAGCGGCCTCTCCCCACTTGTTTCCCGAAATTCGGAATTAGAATTACGGGAAATCTTCCGAATTCTGGGAAAATGCACCTTCCCATTTCCTCAAATGAGGGGTTCGAATTGCAGGAAACTTGGGATCACTACGACCCCCCAGCCATCTTTGTGGTGATTCCAGGTTCCCCATAACTCCGAACGTGGGGAACCTGGAATCACTAGAGACAGAAGGGCTTTTTCGTAATGATGCCAAATCTCCCATCAAGCGGAATTATGGGAAACCTGGAATCACCAGTCCCGGTGGGGTGCCCGGCAATCGTCCGGCCATGGGTTTCCCATGATTCGGAATTATGGGAAATCTGAAACCACAAAAAGAAAGAAAGCCTGTTCGTAGTGATTCCAAATTTTCCGTAATTCGACAGAATTCTGGGAAACTGCCATCCTATTCGGAGTCCCGGCAGACCTGGAGTTCGATCTCCCGGCGCTTCTGCTTCATCTGCTCCTCCATGAGCGCCTCACGGCGTCGCACGCCGCGGGGCTGGAGCCGAGAGGCTGGAAAGCAAAGGGGAGCCAATGGGCAGGAAGAAGGCGACCAGCAGAAGGAGGCAGGAAGAGAGAGGCAGGAGCATGACGCGATGAGATGGGTGGAGAGGAAGCGGAGAAAGGGAGGCGGAGGCAGGACCATGGGGGGACGAGGAGGACGAGGCACACGAGGATGGGGGGAGAGGGCGGCAAGAACGCAATCCTGCCCCCGCGAAGTCGCGAGGACGACGACGAAGGCGCGAGAGCGGCGGCGGCTGAGCGGCCTGCTGACCGCCTGAACGCTGCTCGAGGTTCAAAGCCAAAAACATCGCCGCTTTGGGCCCGCCCGACAATCGTCGGGCGGATCCGATGGGCGACCTCCTGGGAGGGTGACAGGCAAGCCGTGCCACATCAAAGGCGCGCTGGCAGAAGGTGAAACAGCGAAAGTTGGGTAAAACGGCGAGGCGGCTAAGCATGGGATGATGCTGCTGCTGATGATGGTGGTGGTGATGATACTGATGATGGTGTGATGATGGTGGTGGTGATAAATATGATGATGATGATGATGATGATGATGATGATGATGATGATGATGATGATGATGATGATGATGATGATGATGATGATGATGATGATGATGACGATGATGATGATGATGATGATGATGATGATGATGCTGATGATGATGATGATGACGATGATGATGATGATGCTGATGATGATGATGCTGATGATGATAATGATGACGATCATGATGCTGATGCTGATGATGATGCTCATGCTGATGATGATGATGATGATGATGATGGTGGTGGTGATGATGATGATAATGATGATGATGATCATGTGGGTGATGGCGATGGTATAGTGATGATGATGATGATGATGATGATGACGCCATTGCTAATCATGATGATTATGCTGCTGCTGCTGCTGATGATGATGATGATGATGGTGATGGTGGTGATGGTGACGATGATGATGATGATGATGATGATGATGATGATGATGATGATGATGATGGTGATGAGGAGGAGGAGGAGGAGGATGAGGAGGAGGAGGAGGAAGAGAAGGAGGAAAAGCAGGAAGTGGTGCTACTGAGTGCCAAGATCCATGTCCCGCTTCGCTTGCGGCCCTTTATGAAAATCTGAAAGCAAGCGCGAGAAGTTGTGTGCCGCTTCTGCTCCGCTGCCTGCGGAGAGAGACTCGCTCTTGGCATCCTGGGCTAAAAGCGAGCGCCGCATCAGCGGGGGCCTCCCCGCATTGCAAGCAGAACCAGCCCACCTCACCCAGCAACGACGACAACAAGGGAACGACAGGAGGAGAGAACGACGGGCTGAACAAGCGAGAGAGGTCACGTAACCAAGAGCAGAAGGAAAGCCGCACAAGCACCAGCCGTGGGAGGGAAGCAAAAAAACGGGAAGGCAGGTTAACAACGGAATGGGGCGAGGTGGAACTGATCGGGGGGGACAAGGGCTACCAACTTACGACTGGGGCGCACAATTTCCACTGTTACAGTCCCGCTTTCTGCTTCCTTACTGTCAATTGTTGCTGAACGCGCGGGGGGGGGGGGAGCCGAAAAACGTCCTGGCTAGCGTCCCCGAATCGCATTGTCCGAAGTCCCGGCGGGTCGTGGGACACGTAAACATTCATGATATTCGCGTCCCCGAGGCCAGAGTTCCTATTAGATTACTCCGTGTTCGCGTCCCCGAGGCCATAACCCTCCGTGAATTATACACGATTCGCATCCCCGAAACCACAATCACTTGCAGATTACGCAATATCCCCGTCCCCGAAGCCATAAACCTTCGTAAATTACACCCTCGTAAATTCTAGAATGCTCGCGCCCCCGAAGCCATAAGCCCTTGTAAATATTCCCGTTCCCAGGGCCATAAACCCTCGTAAATTACACCGTGCTTGCGTCCCCGAGGCCACACACCCTCGCAGATTACACAGTACTCGCGTCCCCGAGGCCAAAACCATAGTAAATGAATCGATGTTTGCGCCCCCGAGGCCATAAACCCTCGTAAATAATGCGATCTGTGCGTCCCCGAGGCCACAAACCCTCGCAGTATTCGCGTCCCCGACGCCATAAACCATCGTAAATGAGGTAATATTCACGCCACCGAAGTCACAAACCCTCGTAAACTAACATTGGTCCTCGCGTGAAGTTCTGACATTGCTTCACGTCAGCGTCCAGACATCCCAACACAGCTCTGGCAAGTCCCATTCTAAGAGAAGGGGAGCGGCGGCATGGGGGCGAAGCCCTTGCGGATTATATAAACCGACACGCCGTTCACAATCGTAGCACTCGATAATTCGGACACTTGTCAGAAAACGCGCTCTTCAACGCTGTAAGGGTGCTGCCAGAATTTGGACACCCCTGCGTCTGGGCCAGATATCTCATGCCAACAAGGAAGTAGCGCTGACAGTATGAACACCAACAACAATATCCGTCAGCCCATGTTTGACGAATCTCGTAGGACGTAACCGACTGCCTCAACGGTGTCTGCCATTCCTCGATCAATGTCAACTCAATCTCGATGTTCCTAACCGTGATGATCCTTGCCATTGCGGGATAACCCAGGGACCCAGAGCTTGGTACTGCGAGGATGGGGGGGAAGAGGAAGATTGGCACAAGGACGGGAACAAAAGCGGCATCGGCGCTCCGACGGCGAATTATCGGGATTCCCGGGCATGCGGCGCAAAGAGCTGCATGTTTCCCTCAAGAACGCATGCTGTAATTCTTCCCAGTGATGTCAAAAGCTGCAGGCACTGGAGAAGCAGACTATTCGTTGCCCGCGGTATGTCTGACGCAAACTATGGCTCAGCCACTGAGGCAGTCAACGATTTGGGTGCCCGCGGGATGTCTGGCGCAACTTCTGGCGCAGCCTATGAAACACCCGCTGGGAAAACGGACGATTTGGTTGCCCGCGGGGGGCCTAGCGCAACCTATGGCGCAGCCCATTGCACGTGCGGTTCCGGGCCTCTTGGTCGTGCGAAATGTTCTTATACAGTGCGGGCGCGGCCGCAGGAAACCCTCGCAAGAAACCCAACCCTGAAAACACGCGTGCGAGGAGCATCCGAGGGGAAACCCGGAGCACCCTGAACGCAGCCGCTCCTTCCCCGGCTGCGGGAGGCCACCGCGCGGCGCGCGGAGCGAAGAAACCCAGGATACCCTGACGAGAAGCAGATGGCTTCTTGCTGCGCGCCCCCACTGTGGATGCGTGCCAGCGCAGCCGTGCCAGAGAGCACTCCGCTGTTCTGGACCAGCACCCGTCGCGCGGGTGGTGCCGCTGCAGTGCGGCCGCTGCGGCCTCGACGACGGCGACCGCCGCTGCGGCCGCCGCCGCTGCCTGCTCCTCCTCCTCCTCCTCCTCCTCCTCCTCCTCCTCCTCCTCCTCCTCCTCCTCCTCCTCCTCCCCCCACCAGGGAAGCCCTGGCCCTGCCGGCCGACCTGCTCTCCTTCTGAGCGGGATGAGGCGTCGCCTCCTTCGGGCCTCGCGGCAGCCATGGGGAGGGGTGGCCCTGCGGAGCCACCCCTCCCCGTCGCTCGGACGTCCATTCCCTGTGTTTTTTTTTTTTTCGGTTTCGTGCATGGCTTTTTCGCAGGATGATCCAGGGTGCCCCTGAATAATTCCTGCCGAGAAAAAGTGCACACGTCCGAGCGATACCAAGACCCCGTCCTGTCCCAGCAAGCGGCTCTGACGGAGACGAGCGGTGGTTGCAAAAACTCGGCGACTGGCTCGTGGCACTGCCAAGTGCGACTGGCCCCCAGAAAAGGTGCCCCTGGCCTTTCGCCCCAAGCTGAGGGTCCCAGATGGGCACTGGTCAGGACTGGTGGCGGTGCCGAGTCGCAGCAGTTCGATGGCCGCCTCCAGCTCCCCAGACGTCCGGTGTCCCAATCCTGCGAGTCTTCTGGGCGTGAGTGGTTTCGTGCGTTTCCTCTTCCATCTTCCCTCTTCCCTGTCGGGGAGGGGGCCAACGTTGCTCCCTATCAATATACACCCCCTCCCCCACCCGACCGGCGACAAGCCTCGGCCAATAGTGGCCCCCCAGCCCCCGACCCTGTCAAAACTCAGTGCAGAGTGCAATCTACGGCAAGATATTGGGTCGTGTTCGGAGAGCCCGCGAGCACTTTGCAATGCTTGCTCGACAGGGACGGCGGGGGGGCCGGCATAGGGCCTGCTGTGCGCAGGGCCACCATCTCACTATCGAACAACAGATGAAACCATACAACGTGCACTTCCGGGCGAAGTCTGGACCGTGCGCGGGCACTCCGCAATCGCTTTGCGTTGGTCTTTGACATGGACGGCAGGGGTGCTGGCCTTAAGTGGGCCCTGGAAACGACAAGGCCATTTTGTTACCGGTTCCGTGTCGCCGTTTTTTTGCCGGTTCCGACGCCGTTTTTTTACCGGTTCCGTCGCCGTTTTTTGACCGGTTCCCGCTCCGGTTCCAATCCTGGAGTCGTTGTTTTGCCGTTTCCCGTTGCCGTTTCTTTGCCGTTTCCATTTTCAAGGGGCATTTTTTTTTTGGAAACGGTAAAAAAACGGCCCTGCCGTTTCCGGGGCCCACAAAGGTGCTGGCATATTGCCTGCTTTGTACATCATGATGGCAACTCTGCCCTTCGACAGGGATGGTGGGGGCCGCCGTGGCGCACCTCGTCCCAGCGTCGCGCACCTCGGGCCTGCATTGGCTCCCAGGCAGCTGCCCATACAGAGACGACCGCTGAGCATGCTGAGACTGGGGCACCACTTGTGTGTTGGGAGGGCGGGTGGGAGTGAGCCAAACAGTTTGCGTCTAGGAGAAGAAAGGCGTCTTGACCTCTGCTCCCTATTAATATACATCCCCTCCCCCAGGCGACCGGCAGCCAACCAGGAACAATGAGGACACCATGCTCCCCCCCCACAATCCCAATAAAAAACAATACAAAAGACATTATGCCTCTACATGTGGAGCATGCGCGGCCAACCCGATATGGCCCCCCCCACCATCCCTGTCAACAAATAATACCCAGTACACTTTGGGACAAAGTCTTGCGGCATGTTCTTGAGGCCTGCGAGCACTTTGTATTGTTTTTGAAAGGGGCGGCGGGGGTGTTAGCATATTGCCTGCTGTGCGCAGGGCTACCACCTGACAAAAACAATATAACATTCACCTCGCGGCTAAATCTGGATCATGCGCGGCCATCCCGCGATCACAGTCTAATGGTTTTTGACAGGAACGGTGGGGATGGTGGCGTATGGCCTGCTGTGCGCAGGCCCACTGGACACAATGATGGGCATTGGTTTTCGACAAGGATGGTGGGTGTCGACATGTTTCCCAGTGTGTGCTGTCACGTGCGCAGGCGCACCTGACACACTCTGCACGTGCCCCGAACGTGGCGCACCTGGAGCGGCTGGAGTGTGCGGCGCACCTGGCGCACGCGGATCACGTGGCGCATCTGGCGCACCAGGCGTGCCTGGCACGCTCGGGCCCCAGGGGTGCCTGGCGCGCGTGGCGCGCCCCGTGGCGCACCTCGCTCCAGCGTCGCGCACATGGGGTGGGTTGTGGTCCCCAGTAGCTGTCCATCCAAAGACGACCGCTCAACATGCTCAGGCTCGAATGTTACTTCTGTGTTGGGAGGGCGGGTGGGGGTGAGCTAGACGGCTTGCTATCTAGGAGGGTGCCTTCACCCCTCTCCCTCCCCCCGCCACTGAACCTGAACGGGGCACCCCGCGAGGTGTCAGAGGATCTTTGTTGACCCAGAATGGCCCCAAGGGGGCCTCAGAGAGCCAAGGCTGGCCTCCAAGATGGCTCAAGACTTAAGAAAGCTTCCAGCATGCTCCGATCAGCTCCAAGACCGCCCAACGACGGCTCCAAGTGGCCTTGGAGCCCCCAAGAGAGCACCCAAGAGGCCAATATCCTTCCAACACCTGAGGAAAACCAATGTGTTGTGCCTTCTGACCCTTTCGCTTCCGATGACCTTCCGAGGCATTCAGGGGGTTCTAAGACGGCAACAAGAGCCCCAAAGACAGGCCCAAGAGGGCGCCACGAGGCGATGTGAGGCGATATCGAGGGCAGTGCTAATTGGAGATCCCCTCGCCTTTGATAGAACTCCTCCAAGATGGCCCCAAGATGGTCCCCAAGGCTCCCAAGCGTGCCACAAGAGGGCCCCTAAGAGGCGCTCAGGAGGCCCCCAAGATGCATCCAGAGATCTCCACGAGGCCCCTCCGAGGCACCCAAGACGCTCCAAGAGGGCCCCAGGACCGCCAAGAGGCGACTCAGACGCCCCAAGAGGACTCGAAGAAGCTCTCAAGAGGCATCCGAAGAGACTCCCAGAGGCATCCAAGAGGCCTCTGGCCTTTCTACTCGCCCTCCTCTTCCTCCTCCTCCTCCTCTTCCTCCTCTTCCTCCTCCTCCAGCTCCTGCTCCGTTCGTGCTCTTGCTCCTGCTCCTGCTCCTGTTCGTGCTCCTGCTCCTGCTCCTGCTCCTCCTCATCTTCCTCTTCCTCCTGCTTCTCTTTCTTCTTATCCCTCCTCGTCCTCCTCATTCATCATACGTACTTCCTACCTCCTCCTCCTCCTCCTCCGCCTCCTCCTCCTCCTCCCACTCCTCATCCGCCTCCCCTCCACCTCCCCCTCCCCCCCCTCTCCTCCCTCCTCTCCTCCTCCTCCTCCTCCTCCTCCTTCCTCCTCCTCCGCCCTCCCTCCTCCCCCCCCTCCTCCTCCTCCTCCTCCTCCTCCTCCTCCTCCTCCTCCTCCAGTCCTTTCCTTATAAACAACTGTTCCCTGTCGCACCCCGAGGCCAATTGTTAGGGCGGGCCGGGCGTTTCGCCTGAGACTTCCTCACAATTCATGACTCGGAAGCTTAAACGTTGGCAACAGTTTCACAGATGGAGGGCGGGTCGTTTTCATAATGTGGCTCTCGCCTAAGCGCAGCGCACATTCTTTCAAACATCTGCAAGAGTTTCACGGATTGAGGGCGGGTGGTTTTCAAAATGTTGTTCTCGCCTTAGCGCGGCGCACATTCGTTTAACAAACATGCAAGAGTTTCACGGATTGAGGGTGTTTTCTTTGCAAACTGTGGCTCTCGCCTTAGCGCCGCGCACATTCGTTTACAGCATGTTCATGAGTCTCACGGATTCCCATCATCAACATACCTGAAATGGTGTCTTGGAAGGATTGAGGATTATGCGGATGCGCCCAGTAACGTTGATTCTCTGTGCTGAGGTCTCAGGAATGGCGTTCTGGCACGATTCAAGATCGTCAAGACGCAACAATCAGGTTGATCCATGGCGTGGGAATCCCGAGAACAATGTTTTGGCATGCTTCAGGGTCTTCAAACGGGTGTCTTCCAACGAGGTCCATCAATGGAAATGAACCCTTGTAGGGGCCTATGACGAGGGAGCTTGGAGGAATGGCTTGATCCAACACCGTTGATGACTCTTGGGTTTACACTGGTCCTCCTGCTGCTCCTCCTCCTCCGATTCCTCCTCAATCCTTCCCTCTTGGGGTATGACGGCTTCCTCTCCCGTAAATTACACGACATGCTCCTCCGCATCCCTTATCAAGGCATTTCGCCTGGGCATCGTTTTTTTGGTGGGCTGGTGGGGCTACGCGAATCGTGTTTTTTCAATCCGGCGTTTCCGAAGTACCGACCCTGTCCCCAAGGCTGTTGTTTTCAATCCCACTTGTTTTGCTTACAATCCAAAGGACTGGCGAGGGCCCCCAGAGGCCGAAGACGGCCAATAAAATTGTGTAGTGTTTTTGTTTTTTACACGACGCGAGCATGTCAGGTCCCGCCCGCCAGCGCCCTCCATCCTCTTGAGAGGGGCGCGGCACCTGGTTGCGCACCGCCTTCTCCATCTGCGAGGACAGCTCCTGGACCTGGAGGTCCTGGCCGCGGCGCGAGCTGGGGGGAGGGGGACGAGGCTGATGGCTCTGAAAGGTTCCATCGTACTGCCACGCGGAACTCCGAACACGGAACGGCAGGGCTCTTCGGGCCATGGCGCGCCTCGGCCACTTGTCGTCGCTCGGACGTCCAGTTCCCGTGCATTGTTCAGGTTTCGTGCGTGCTTTCTTGGCTCGATAATCAGGACGGTCCTCGATGGTTCTCGCCGAGAAAGCCGAGGCCACGCATTCGGAGGAGGAGGAGGAGGAGGGAGGAGGAGGGAGGAGGAGGAGGAGGAGGAGGAGGAGGAGCTCGTCCACGAACAAGTTCCTCGACGCAGATCGGAGGGGCGGCCCGAAGATCAGAGCCCCTCCTGAGCCCAACCTGGCTCCCATTTCAACGTCTTGACCGTACCTCCCACGTCTCCAAGAAGATCGACAACGTCTACCACGAACTCCTGCGCTTCTCGGAAGCGCTGGTCCCAGCAGTGCAGCCGATGATATCAGACTCCAAGATCCTTTCTGGCGGCTCGCGGAGCAACATTAGCGCCTGATGCCACTTGCTAAAGTTTTCAAACACGCGAGTCTCAGCGTTGTAGCTAATGACGCTTGGCTCCAGCTTCGCCCCCTAAAATCCACAGAAACATGACAGTGTCTGCTACCGCTGCTCAGCCGCAATCTACGCGCAAACTCTAACGCTACGGCGCAGGATGCAAACACGTGTATGTCATCGATGCTGTGGAACATCGTGCCAGTTTGGATTGGCGAGTATAATGTAATGGCTATCTTGATCGACGTGCGGGTAGAGCATTGATGAGAAAGGCTGGCTGTCTGGTGCAGCGAACCTTGCTCATAAGATGTTTCACTCGAGGGGTTTATGAGAAGGTCGCCACTTTAGGCCTTTGGCGCACAAGCTGCTTGCATCAGCGCGCTACGATTAAGTCGCACACCTCTTCCAACAAGGACAACGCCTGCTTCCTGTGCCCGCCCTGCTCGCACAGGTAGGTCGTGATTCCATAGCTGGTCACTTGTGGATCCAGTTCCAACGAGCGCATCGCCACGAGCAGAGACAACGCCTGCTGCCATTGCCCACCCTTCTCGCACGCGCTGATTCCAACCCTGTGGCTGATGACGCTCGGCTCCAGCTTCGCTTCCCTGAGATCGCAGAGCAGCCACAACGCATGCTGCCACTGTCCGCCCTTCTCGCACGCGCTGATCGCCGCGCAATAACTGACGACGTTGGGCTCCACCGTCGCTTCGCACAAACCGCCGAACAACCACATTGCCTGCTGCCACTTCCCGCCTTTCTCGCACGCGCTGATTCCTGCACTGTAGCTGATGACGCTCGTTTGCACTTGCAAATCAACCATTTCACAGAGTAAGGACAACGCTTGCTGCCACTGACCGCCCTTTTCGCACGCGCTGACTCCAGCACTGTAGCTGATGACGTCTGCCTCCAGCTTCGCGCCTCGTAGTTCGTCAAGCAAGCGTAATGCCCGTAGCCACTGGCCACCTTTCTCGCATGCGCTGATGCTGGCATTGTAGCTGACGACGCTCGCTTCCATGGTCGCCGCCTGCAGCCCGTGGAACAAGAACAGTGCCTCCCGCCATCGGCCGCCCTTCTCGCAGGCGCTGATTCCAGCGCTGCAGATGATGACGTCGGACTCCAGCTTCGACTGCCCCAGCTCGTGCAGCAAGGCACACACCTGCTGCCACTCCCCGCTGTTCGCGCACGCCGTGACTCCCGCACTGTAGCTGATGATGTCGGCCTCCAGCTTCGCCGCCCTCATCTCGCGGAGCAGCCGCAGCGCCTGCTGCCAGCGCGCGCCTCTGGCACACGCGCTGACCCCGGCGTTGTAGCTGATGACGCTCGGCTCCACCCTCGCCTCCAGCATCTCGCCGAGCAGGGACACTGCGTGTTGCCATTGCCCGCCTTTTTCGCACGTGCTGATCCCAGCGTTGTAGCTGATGGTCCACAGCTCGATGCTCGCATCCCCCATGTCGCCCAGCAGAAACAACGCATGTTTCCACTGCCCGTCGCTCTCGCAAGAGCTGATCGCAGCGTTGTAGCTGATGGTTCCCAGCTCCACCTTGGCGCCGCCCATCCTGCCTAGCAAGGACAAGGCCTTCTGCCACTGCCCGCTCTTCTCGAACGCGCTGATGGTGGCACTGTAGCTGATCACGTTTGGCTCCAGCTTCGCCCCCCCCATCTCGCCGAGGAGCGACATCGCGTGCTGCCACCTCTCCCCCTTCCCGCATGCGCTAACTGCAGAGTTGTAGATGATGGTATTTGGCTCCAGCCTCACCTCCCACAGCTCGCTGAGCAGCGACAGCGCTCGCCGCCACTGCATGCCTTTCTCGCATGCGCTAATCCCAGCGCCGTAGCTGAAGACGTTCGGCTCCACCTTCTCCGCCGCCATGCTTCTCAACAGCGATAGCGCCTGTTGCCACTGCATGCCCTTTCCGCAGGCGCTGATGGCCGCGGTGAAGACGGTGATTTCAACACGCGAGCCAGGCTGTGACGCGTCGCGGAGCAGTTGCAATACCGAAACCCATTGCCTCGCGTTCCCACACTTCGTGATGCTGGCTGCAAGAGGGGAGGGAGAGGGGGAGGAGGGGGAGGAGGGGGAGGAGAGGGACAAAGAGGGGGCGCAGGCCGCACCCGATACGAGCGCGCCCCTGCTCCGCTCATGCATGCGGCCCGGGGCCCGCGGCCGGGGATCGTGCGGGAAGCCTCGCGCGAGGCCGCGGAGCCAAAAAACACGACTTGAGCCGAAATGGCTACGGAGGAGGAGGAGGAGGAGGAGGGGGGGGAGGGAGGAGGAGGAGGAGGAGGAGGAGGGGAGGGGAGGAGGAGGAGGAGAGGAGGAGGAGGAGGAGGAGGAGGAGGAGGAGGAGGAGGAGGAGGAGGAGGAGGGGGGGAGGAGGAGGAGGAGGAGGAGGAGGAGAGGAGGAGGAGGAGGAGGAGGGAGGAGGGGGGAGGAGGAGGAGGAGGAGGAGGAGGAGGAGGAGGGGAGGAGGGGGAGGAGGAGGAGGAGGCGGTCCCCCCGTCCAGATCCAAGAAGCGGCCCGAGAGCCAGGGCCCCTCCTGGGCCCAGAGTGGCCCTTGCTCTTCAGCGTCTTGGCTGCATGGGGGGGGACTGGGAAGGGTGGTATCCCAGGCCTCCCGGAGGCTCTCGGGGGGAGGGAGGAAAGGGGAGGAGCGAGAACTGGGGAAGGGGATAAAGGGGGAGAATCTGGAGGAGGAAAGGGGAGGAGCGAGAAATGGGGAAGGGGATAAAAGGGGGAGAATTATGGAGGAGGGCTGTGCTAAATCCTGGCGGGCCCTGGGGAATTCTGCTGGGAGGCTGAAGGATTCTGAAGGACCTTGAGGGATTCGGAGCGCGAGGGTGATATTTTGTGAACGGTTTTCGATAGCCTTCGGAACCTGAGGTGCTTTGGAATGAGTTTGTGTGTCTGTGTGTTTTAAAGAACATGCTCACCCTGCCCCTGGCCGGCTCCGCCTCGCTGCCGTGGACGGCCGCGGACTGAGATGTCAAGACTCCAGGCAGCCATGGTCCTGGGACTTGCGATGAACATAACCTGCTTAGCACAAGATCGACCTCGCTCAAGCAAACATTTCAGAGGGCTTCAAATCCCTTAGACGGCCTCAAACCTCAAACTTCAAATCCCGAGGGCGAATGAAAACAAATCCTTGAATCTGGAGGATGAGAGCTCAATCTGCGAGGTTCTGGGCGGCCGTCTAAAAGCATCAAGCGCGATTTTGGCAGCGCTTAAGCTAACATGGAGCACGAACACTCCCTGACGCCATCATTCAACCAATGATGTCGCAAAAGCGGCGATCGCTTCAGCAACTCCACACGGCCGCGTACAAGACTGCAACATCAGAAGCCAGAACAACTCGCAACACGCAGCCAACATGCCGAGGTACTCCAGGAGCACAGTCGCCCATCAAAGTAATGAGGATGGAAAGTAAGGATGCAAGAACATTGAACTACTGTCACCCACAGGTGCTGACCAACAACACTGGCTCAGGATGGGCAGTGTAAGCACGGGCGCAAGGGGAGCCTTGATGAAGTAGAGAATGTACGTAGCACCCCGCAGTTGCGGATAAGAGTGAGGTGGCGGCGGGGGCGTCGGCAGTTTGCGAGGCTCTGAAGAAGCCTGCCGCAATTTTAAGAAAGAATACAACGAGCCCGCCACAGACGGGTGGGTCGCGGGCGGGTCGCGATGTGGGTGTGTCGCGGGGAGGGTCGCGGGGAAGGTCGCGGGTGGGTCGCGGGTGGGTCGCCGGTGGGTCGCGGGCCGGGTCGAGGGTGGGTCGCGGGTGGGTCGCGGGGTGGGTCACGGGTGGGTCGCGGGCCGGTCGCGGGACGGGTCGCGGAGTGGGTCACGGGTGGCTGCGGGCGGGTCACGGGTGAGTCGCGGGCCGGGTCGCGAGTGGGTCGCAGGCCGGGTCGCGAGGGGACGACGACAACAAACAACAAAGAACAGCAAAAACAATCCCCTCTGCAAAACCACACTTCAGCCACGCACCCAGGGACCGTGAACGACCGTTCGGCCACCTCACTCTGACAACACAACAAATTCGTGCCGTGACGACTGACCTACTCGTTGGCTTCTGACACCGCGTGGATCGTTCAATCTGGAACGGTCAGCGCTTTCTCGATCGCCAGATCATTCCATACCAGCCGATTGTGGGCCACTGGCGGCGTTCAACCTGGAACGCTCGCACTGGCGTCGCTGCTGGGTTGACACGGCACGAAGCCACCGTACCTGTATATTATCGTGGCGGACTGCAAAGCGCTCGTAACAGACGGCAGCTTCTCAGGCCGTCCTTCTCGGCGCACGTGGCCTTCCAGGTGTTGCAGTCGCCGCTGAGGTTCCTGATCACCTCCTGCAGCTCCTGGACGCGTCGCCCCCTCCCTCCAGAGCAAGCACCTCATCCATGCCAGCGAGATCGAAAGCATTGCCACACGAGCCGGACAGACGGCCTCTGTGCGGCTGTCCGGCGGCCGTCCCCGCAGACCGCCGACCGACGGGGCAGCTCGCACGGTCGAGCCGATCGCTTCGAATCGTACCCCCGGGAGAGGATCGACGACGCGCCGACGGGGCAGGCGCGGCTTCGGAGAAGGCTTCGGGCACCCTCTCGCCAGAGGGCCAGAGGCCCTCGGAGCCTCGTGAGAGTGCCCGCCCCCCCCGTCGCTCCCCCCCGCCGCGCGCCGCTGAGAAGTTTTCAAAATCGAGCCGCTCGAATTGGATCGCCTCCCCGGGAGAGGAGAAGGTTGCCCTCGGGGGCGCGTGCGCAATCGAAGCGGCCGGTGCCGCGCGCAGATCTCGGCACGTACCATCAGATCCGCCGGCCTCCGCTTGCCGGGGGTGAGACAGCGTGAGGGATGATTGGCTGCCCCTCTCCCCCGTTCCCCGTGGGCAGACAGAAAATCCAGATGGTGGTGAGGGAGAGCTGGGGAGGGGGCCCGTGGAGGGGGGCGGAGGGGAGCACGAGCTCGTCAACGCACCTCCACCCAAGGAAGTCCCCAAGGTGCCTCCAAGAGGCCCCCAGCTCCCAGGAGGCCCCAAGAGTTCCCCAAGAGGCTCCCAAGAGACCTCCTCCTCCTCCTCCTCCTCTTCCTCCTCCTCCTACCTGCTCCTCCCTCTCCTCCTCTTCATCTTGGAAGGGAACACATCGTACGATAGCTTGACCGAGCTCTAGCCGCAACGCTCGGCCACATAGGCGCCTCAAAGAGGCAGGGGGCGGAGGTGATTCGCCGTATGCGTCTTCGGTAACCATGGCGCGCGCTTCGCACGCGATCCCTTCTCTTTCCTTCCCTCCTTCCTCACTGGTTCCCCATCTCTCTTTCCTTTAATTCGATTCCGAATTCGTGATCACTTCACCTCGTCCACGGCTGCCACGTGCAAGCATGCACAGCCCGCCCTGACATAACATGTATACCCCACGCGCGACAGTAGCCGTGCAATATTAATGCCGCAAATGCTCTTGCATTTCCAACTGAGGTGCGTAATTACGCGCTGTTGCTTTACTGTTGCTGCGAGTTCATATTGTCATCGTAGCTTTTCGCATGCATCGTGCCAAAACCTGACGACAGATCCCTTCCTCCGGAAACACGGGTGCACAAGGTCAGGTCGGCGATCGGAACAGAGGGCAGTGGTTTTCAAAACGGGGCGAGGGGCTGGGCTCAACTGTGGACTCGAGGCATCCATATGCCACTGTGTGAGCTCGCTCTCCGAACTCGGGGGCAAGAGCAAGCATATCATCGGCTTCGAACACGAGGCCGTCGCCAGTCGAAGAGGAGCGATGATACTGCACACTTTCCCGATAGGGATACAAGGCAAGTGCTCACACAACACGTATCCGAGTACTCCGCAGGCGCTGCCGATTGTCCTTGACCTTCTTCTCAAGCTCCCTCTTGTCCCGCGACAAGTTGCTGGCGAGAATATCAAGGCCTCACGCAAGTGGGACATGCAAGTCGAATGTGATGGGGACGTGCCAGACGCGGGAAGGTTACGATTGCAGCAGGGAGGGATTACTGGTTCGCCTCATCATGAGGAGCGCTGAGAAAGGACGACGTGCCTTTTGTGGTCATGGCGAGCCTCGGCCACGAATAAATCCCCCCCACCTGGATCTGAGGAGCGGCCCGAAAACCGGAGCCCAACCTTAACCCCAAGGAATCCAGACTTCAGCGTCTTGGATGTATACGGCCAACCTTCTTCCCTCCCAAGCGCAACTCGTTGCACGTCTTCATCCGAGGTCCTTTTCCCTGCGGCACGGGAGCCCGCATTGTGCTCAGCCATGTGCGGAGACCCGTGTCTTCCCAATGCTCAAGGCTCAAGTGCGGACCGTGCTTTTCGCCTTCGTCCTGCTTTCATGTGCATCCGCTCTGTCTTCGTTATCCTCGGGAGCGGCCAAGAGCGGGGTGTCCAAGACGGGGGGGTGCAAATCATGACCAGCGGCACGTGCGCGGCCCAGCGGAGGGGCCAGGGACGCAATGAAATAAGAAGAGGCGCCATGAAATCTGGGGAAATATCATGGCCTACGCCATGATATCCCCCCCCCTTAAGTCATCACCCCCCTCTTTTCCGCCCCCGATCTCCCCGTGCTGCGAAACGAACACAGAGCGAAAGCGGCCCGCGCAATCGCCAGAGCGCCTCTCGGCTCGAGCCCTGCCAATGGTAATGGTATGCTCGCGCTCCCTCGGCATCCCCCCGCAGACCCCCGTCGGGCCACCCGGCCAGTGGCCCCCGGCAACTCGCCCCGCGGCTCCCAGCCTCGCGGGCTCGGCGGCCCCCCCCTTCCCCCGGAAAGAGCGGGGGCCCTGGGGGGTGGACTGGGCGGCTGGAGGAGAGAGGGGAGGGCGGGGAGGACGAGAGGCGGGGGGGCGGGCAGTAGGGCGGGGACGAGAGGCGGGAGACTGGACCGGCCTTGGGAGACGGGGGGGGCGAGAGGCAGGCGGCGGGGGCGAGGGCGGGGGCGAGGGGGGGAGAAAAGAGGGGGGATTTTTTTCCCCCACCGCAGGGCGCACACCGATAATCCTTATCCATAGTCTGTGAACTGTGAGGGCCACGCAGCGGCAGGCCAGGCCTGCCAAAGTCGAGGGCCGCGCAGGAGGGGGGGGCAGAAGCAGCAGAGGAGCAGCGAAAGAGGAGAGAGAGGACAGGGTGCGTGAAGCCAGCGCACTGCGAGAGGCCGATCTTCGGCGACCCGCGGGAGGTACCGTGGTACCTCGCGCGCGGGGCGGGGCGGGGCAGCCCCGCCCGCTACCGATCCTCCCGAACGAGACTCCTCGGCAGCGGGGGGGCGCACTCGGCGACGGGGGAGGACAGAGTCCATGCCCCGCAAGCCTCGGGCGCTTGCGACCCAGGCCACCGTCGCCTCGACCCACAGACCAGGCCCGAGCACACACCTAGACAAAATCGAGAGGCGGGCACCCTTCCTCCCAGAGAGGCGCAACGGGCACAGTTGAACAGGTCGTCGACGGGGCGGGCGGCGGGGGCGGCAGGGAGCGGCGGGGCGGGCGCACGCGCGCCCCCGCGCGCGCTCCCCCAGCCAGGCGGGGGCCCAACCCCAGCAGCAGCAACGCGCGCACAGCGGAGCACAAGCAGCGAGGAGAACCGATGGGGGCGGGCCGGAAGAAAGGCAGGGGAAAGAGGGGAAGGCAGGGGCGGAAGAAAACCGAGGAGCCAACAACGCCCACCCCGCAGGGGAGAGGCAGCGGCAGAGGCAGGGGAGACGGAAGACAGCAAGCGACAGGAGAGGCAGAGGGAACACAAAGAGGAGCACTAGAACAAACGCGCGAGAGATGAAAGGGAGCGGTCACACTCAGACGACATCACTTCACGTGGCAGCCCGCCCAATACGCCGTGCCCTGAACTGTCGTGCGACACCAGTATACTGACGAGCTAGAAGACGCAATCGAGCAACGAAGACCTGGGACGAGGGGACCTGAGTCTGGCGCCGATGATGAGGATGTGTCTTCAGAAAGGCATCGAGGAAGGCAGCGCAGGCAACGTCGCGGTCGAGCCCCCAGGAAGGCCCCGTCAGACAGAGACATGTAAGCCATGTATCTCGGTGCTGCCACATCTCCCTCCACGGCGTGGGTAATGCTTCCAACCCTGGGAGACGGTGCAGTGCAAGGTCACGGAAACGATCGCAGATTTTGTAGTGGAGTAGGTCCTCAGGGGCCACACAACCAAAGCAGCACCCACGGTCATTCGCATGAAAACGTGCCGAAGTACACACGCCCCTGGACAGTACGCGGAGAACGTTGGTAGCGAGATGAGTGCACGTGGCACGCTCCACGGCGCGCAATCTAGTCCGCAGACGGAACATATCCTCGAGGGAGGCTGCAACTAACCACCTCGATACCCGCACACCCAGACACAATAAGGGAGTGGCAGTCATACGAACCGAACGTAAGTGCCGATGGACCTTGGCCTGGATATAACGGGCAGTTCGATCAATGGGGGAGTTCACAAGGTCCGCCGCATCCTCATTCGTCGCGCGTATCATCGAATGGCACCACCATCCAGAAAACATACGAGCAGGAATACATTCATCATCAGTCAAGCCACCCGCTAAGCCCTCTAACTCATATAGTGCATAGTCTAATGCCTTGCACCGCATCACCACCCGAAATTTCGTAGCTTTATCATACAGTCCCAGGTCCACGAACTCAAGAGAGATCCCCAGGTCACGTAGCTGAGTGAGCATAGTGTAATTCAACGCATGCCGAGGCCCCGCGGTAAGGATCTGGAGCGCTTCCCTATGCTGACGCCGAACCAAAAGGGTGACCCTCACCAACTGGATCCGATACTGCAAGACGGAGAGGCAATTAGAGTGGAACAGGCGGATAGTGGTCGCCAAGCCCAGCGAGAGAGAACGAAGAAGACGAACTCGCTGCCAGAACTTATTCATCGTTTCCACCCAGGCCACCTCATGGGCCGGCGGGCCCACCCAAAATCCGAGGTACAAAACTCTGGTGGCGAAACGGACCGAGGCGAAACGGCTGCCTTTCCGAGCCATGTGGGCAACGAGGGCATCTCCATCCAGCGTCCCGCAGATCAGGACGTAGCATTTCCCCACATTCAAAGAGAGACCAATCGCGGACGAGAGCAAGTCGAGAAGCAGCAAGGTGGGCATGAGATCGATGAGAATGTCACGTAGTCCAAAACAACAGTCATCCGCGTACGCCAATTGGACACCCACACGTTCGACACGGCGGGCACGGATCCAGCGCAGTACAGGGTCAAGGGCCAGAGCAAAGAGGGTCATGGACGCAGGACCACCCTGCCGTACACCTCGTTCCACAGGGAAAACCGTTTCGGCTGCGCCCTCAAAACAGACCAGGGCCGTATTGTTGGCATACAGGGCTCTGAAGGAACCCGCAGTCTCGCTGGGAACCCCCATGGCCACCAAAACGGCAAAAATCCACTCGGCCAGGATCGAAGGGAACGCCGCCTTGAAATCGGTGAACAAGACCCCCGCTTTATCCCTCCCACACATGTGTTGGATAAGGCCCCATTTTTCCACTTCAACAACATTGCCCAGAATGTTACGCCCTCGAACCCCACCACGCTGGGGGACATCCACCGTCGCAGGAGCGACGTCGTTGAGTCCAAGACAGAAGGCATCGGAGAGGATCTTCGCATCCGTATTCGCGAGGGAGAGCGGTCGGGTGGAGGCAGGTGCACGTGAGACAAAGTCACTGCGATCACGGGGGTCACTGCCCTTCGGGAGGAAAACCATACGACTAACTCGACACTCAGGGGGGATAGCATCTCCTGCACTGTTGAAAACCTCATCGTAAACCTCGAACAAAGCAGCGGTCGCCTCGGGGACCTTCCAGCATCCATAAGGGATCCCATCAGGGCCAGGAGCAGAATGAAATTCATGGCCGACACGGCCCCGAAATTCGTCAACGTCAAGTTTCCATCGTGGGGCAGGAGTACAATCGCCAATAATCTGAACGTGGGCCAACATTGCTTGCCAATGAATCGGGTCGTGATCAGCCTGTGCAAAGACCTTACTCCAATGGGCCACCAGTGCCGCAGAAGCCGCTTCTGGGGAGGCACACGGGGTCCCGTCCTCGTCCAAGACGCCTAGCAGCCCAGTCCTCCTCCTCATGAGATCCCACCCACGCCTAAGAGCCACCCGCCTCCGTCTCTTCTTGGTCCTAACCTCCTCCACCTGGTTGCTATATGCTGCCATGATCCAACTCCTCCATCTCCGCATCAAACCAACGCCTCTTCAAGGTCAGTACCAAACTGTGGAGGCCATCAGGATCAATGCACGCACCGCCGTCGACGTCGAAGAAAGGCAGGAGAGAGGCGTAGCAGCGAATGGCACGAAGACAGCGATACCACTGCCGATCCCGCCATTCACGGTATGCCATGAAAGCAAAGTGGAGCCGCTCCGCATCGTTGTCCGCTGGACGACACTTAAGAGACTTCTTAAATTCCACAGCAGCCGCACCGAAAACTTCTTTCACCCTTGCGAGTTTCTGGGCCGGGTCCGAAGGGAGCGTCAGCTCCCGCAACTGTTCGGAAACCATCCTGTGGTAGTCGGCATGCTGGCAGATCCATTTCGGAACCGAGAACCGACCCCATCGGGGTCGGGAGGGAAACCGTGGCAGCGACGGGAATGTGATCGGAGGAGGCCCCTGGATGCATGAGGGTGCCGACAGCGTTGACAACAACGGTCATATCATTGAGAATACCTGCAGGAAGTGTCGTGTAAATCCGATATAATCTGGCCAATCCCCTCGGGTCGGGTCGGGCTGGTATAATCCACAATATCCCTTCGGGTCGGGTCGGGCTGGTATAATTCACACCAGTGGCTACAATGTTCCTGAAAAGCATCACATTGCACGCGGTCCCCAGGCCCAATCTCCCCTGAGACAAGAGACCTACCATCCTCCATCGTACAGAAATTCCAGTCTCCCAGAATG